AAAACACAATTGCATTCGTTTGATATTAATTTTAAAATAACTACTTGCTGGGATTTTGTTTTATTTATTCTCACCAAGAGGGAAAAAAACCAACATTCCGGGCGACTGGAATTCTTCACGAAGATGTGGGGCATGCGACTTTCCAATTGTCAGTCGAGGTCCCCTACCACCATCGTCAATTGGCCAAATACACACGTAAATAACCACACAGAACAATTTGTAGAAGACGGACCGTAAACCCGGATTGAAAATCCTGAATCGATGGCCCCTGTGCAAACTGTAGCCCGATTGACAGGTGATGTACACCAGGTGACAGCGATGCGTGTCACAGAGCAAAACGTGACAAATGAGCCTCCCGTGCCTCTCAGCAACCTGACACCAGCCTGGCCGCTAATGACGAGCACAAGTTTAATTGCGAGATGCCGGCATTCGTTTTCGCCTTTCATCGGCACGATTGCGTGTCTTGATGATCGAATGCATGCATAGCGTTTTTTTTTATTTGGAACCTTTAGCCTTTTGTTACGTTACACATACCTGGTAGCCTGGTGCTGTGGATAGAGCGTGTAACTTGCAATCGGAGCTTGGGAATTTTTCTTCTGGCAGCTATTCATTCTCCTGGGCTGACATAATGGCAAAACCACTTTCTGGGAATTGAAAATAAAGGTTGACTCGCTACTGCCCTAATAATGTGGAATTTTCTCCACTGACTCATGGCCATAAATGGAGATGAGCAGAGCCCCGTGCGTATTTGACAAGGGAAACGCAAGAGGTGTAAAGCAATAGCGGCTATGCAATTGCTCGGTACACACTGCTATTGTATCACGAGCTAACATTAAAAGGAGAGGAGTGCATCTGAGCAAAATCCCAAGGCACAGGCCCATCGTCTTACTGTCCCATGGACAATGCCATTGAAAGCTTCGTGTCTTAAGCGCTAAATTAGTTCCAATAAAGATTTAGTTTCGAGCATAGTCTGATCTGGGGTAGCTTTTGCACTGCTGTAGGGTTAGGTTCACAAATGGGTCCGGATAACTGGCCTATTCCCTGACAGCAAGGTGAGTTGTGGAAAGGTTCTGAGTTATCTGAGACGTGGTGGATTGTGCAAAGATTCAATGTGCCAGTGGCCAGAAGATAATGATGATGACAATCATCATAAACTTTGATCTTACCATTGCTAGACACAGGCCTGGCCGTCTCATCACCAACCGTCCCACGGGCTTGAAGTTCCAAAATCTTGTGCCTGCTTGTGACATGTACTTACTAAACAATCAATGTTATTTCACCAATGTGTATTTGTTCTCGGATCCGTGTTTCCTCTTTCTCTGAGTATACTTCCCGACATGCATTTCTCCATGCCAATGTTTTAACTTTTCAGCTTTGGTTCCATTTTCTTTGTCATGTTCATATTGGAGATATGTTCGGCCATAGAAAGTAATGCACTGATTAAAGACCATCATCATTTGGCAAATTGGCACGTCGCTTTTCATTATCAAATAAAATAAACACTACAATCTTCTCTCCCTTGCCAATTTATTTCATCGTTTTCATCCCGGTGCATCAAAGCCTGCTTTTAGAGAATCCAGCCATCTGGCATTAGTCCTGCCAAATTATTTGAGCGGACTGCACTAACCTTACTAATCCAAGTAACATCACGCAATGACATGAGGGATTATATCACGACTAACCACGTGAAAATACCGAACAATGAGGGTTAAATAATTAACCCCAAGCGATTATGGTCTTGAATAGAGTGTAAAGGCCATAGGGGTAGCATTGTGACTGACACTTTGACCTTTTCGCTTGCAAGATGACCACATGACCATACACCATCGTGGTTAGGAATACAACCATACGTTGTCAGGAAGAAGTTAAGAGTTAACGAGGTTATTGCTGTTGATCCATATTTGTTTCTGGGTGAGACCACGAATTAGCTATGCAAACCTAACTTTTTAAATGATTGGTGTTATTCTTACTTTTGTATGACTGAAATGAAAAGCTTGCACTCTTGAATAACACACAAAAAATGCAGCCAGGAAGCACTGCGGTGAAAGTGCTTGATTCCCAATCCGAAGGCTACAAGTTCAAATCATCGTAGAGGATCACTTAGGCTCATTATCTTTTCAGAGTCAATAAACAAATAACCAATTTGTAGGAAGTTTTATTTTTAGTCCTGTGAAAATACCTGACCTCGTCATTGGAAAGTGGAATTTCCACCACTGTGTCTCAAGGCCACCACCAGAGATGAGCCCAGGCCAATGCTCATTTACGTTATTTGACTTTGTGAGTGAGCACCTATTTTGGCTGGTACGGGGCACAAGGGGGCAGTACAGTGAGCACCATGCTCAGCTGCCACTGTTTCCACAGTGGTCTTTCATACATGAACATCTGTGTATATGTACGTTCCACTGCTGGATGAGGTCCTCCGTACACCGTGCGTGACGTGGCTGTTATTCAGCCACGCTGGCTGTTTCTGTACTAGTTGGTAAGCTAAGGCTGAGTCTACCTGCATAAGGCCCACACTCTGTTCAGATACCGCTTGCAAACTAAACATGGGGTCAGGGGTGGAAGCCGTTGTTCTGGAATAGTAAACTACTGCTACAACGTCACTGTTCCCAACACACGTGCACATTGTTTAAAATGACAAGACACAAGGTGGCGCAATTTGCACTTAGGGCATCAATGCAAGCATAATGTCACAATTCACTTTGTCCTTTCATTCGAGGGGGAGGGGTGTCTGGTCTTGGGAGTGGGAAAAGGAAGTGCATGCCATAAGGGTTTGCTGTCCAATCGACATGAAGACCACATGACTCGCATTGCTAAAAGTAGGCCATTGTGTGCTTATTTAATTGCACAGCATTCCCTCATTAATGTTAAAACTGCCCTTTTTCACTTCCGAGATGATGAATGTGTGTATGTTGAACTTCTTTCCCACTGTACGTAGCCAACCATGCTTCGGGGAAGGACAACAAAACTAAAAACAAAAAGCATTGTTGAAAAAATAAGTTTTCAATCTAGATTTAATTGTGCATAGCTCCAGTGGCTTCCAAATATCGGAAGGAAGAGCTTTCCAGGTGGCCGCAGAAGCGCATCTTAAAGCACATGGTGCAGTAACCGTCATTGTTCGATGGCTAGCTACAAGCCACTGCGAGGATGACTTGAGTTTGCGTGATGGTTTAGGCTCCTTGACGAAATCAGCAAGGTATTGTGGTTCATTTGTGGAAATTAATAAACAGTTAACGAGTGTGTTGTCACATGGTTACATAAAACAGCAAAGAAGTTTAAAGCTTTTTTTGTTTACATCGGGCAGCCCCACTGAGCAAGACTTGGTGGGTATTATTGTCTACTGCAGACAAAAACTAGAGGGCCCAGACAAATAGGTTAGAAAACCACTTTCTGTACTGATTTCCACAGGCAATTTCTTTATTCCTGCAGCTTCGTGTTTCATGCAGAGTCCATCTCGATTGAACAACCCCCACCTCCATATTACATGGTGTGTGCCACTTATACCCACCCGTTAAGGCAGCACGTACAATGAATATCCTTGGAGGTGGTCGGAGGTGGCCAGGGATTAAAGCACAGAGCTGGAATCGCTGAGATCCTTGCTTGAATGTAGTTTTCAACCAACTGATTAAATCTATGCAAGTAAATACTGCCACCATGTAGCCTATGCCGTAGGCATCCTAAATGCAGAGGAGTGGGCTCTCGTGTGGTCCAAATAAAAAAAAAATAGCTAAATTATTTTCGACTGTATTGCAACAGCATATTTACGTCTGTGTCCCAAGAAATTGTATTGCTTTTACTCCTTTGTAACTGTACAGCCTCTGCTCTGTGAATTCAAAATATCGGTTTGGCTGCCACGCGACAAGCTTTCAGCGGGATAGTGCAGCTCTTACTTTGTGAAGGATAGAAAGGCCACGCAAAGTATATTTCAAAATTCTTGTGAAAATGATCTTCCGCAGCTGTTCTGATACATGGGGCATGAATGGCTGCTGTTCGAGATATTCGAAATAGACCCTTGGTCTCATGAACTAATGCAGATAGCACACCTGGAATAAAGTTGGGGGGAAAGAAAAGACAAAATCATTGAATGTCATTTTATTACGAGCGATGCGGGTACTTAACAGCATATTTAACCTACCGTATTGTGATTTGCTCAAGCGTGCCCATGGAACTTTCGAGATGTTGCGTGATACACATGACCTTACGAGCACAACTAAATAAAACCACACGAATATGAAACCAGCCTCAGGACAAACGGCAGACACATTTGACATCTGCCCAATGTTGTTGAACAGTAACGCCTGCCAGAAAACTAGTGTGTTTTAAACATTATCTTGGAAACATGAATTTACGAGACATCAGTGGCTGCATGCATTGTTTACCTGTCTGTCTTCCACTTGAGTGTAGTTGTCAAAATGCATTTGTGGGAAATTAATGCTTGGCTTCTGTCCAACAACCTGATGTCACCGAACTTGGTCATTATCTCGATTTAAAGCTTTCGTGACTGCAGGGATTCATCTTCTTGGTTCTTTCGGTAAAGTCACGTAGAATGGAAACAATAAAAAGAATAAAAATAAAACATATAAAATAATAAAAATAAAACGTAATTAAATTTCGATTTAAAGCTTTCGTGACTGCAGGGATTTATCTTCTTGGTTCTTTCAGTAAAGTCACGTAGAATGGAAACAATAAAAAGAATAAAATAAAACATAATAAAATAATTCTCACGACGTTTCGGCTACTCGCAAGCAGCCGTCTTAACTAATGCAGATAGTACACCTGGAATCACCTGAAGACGGCTGCTTGCGTTGTAGCCGAAACGTCGTGAGAATTATTTTATTATGTTTTATTTTATTATTTTTATTGTTTCCATTCTACGTGACTTTACCGAAAGAACCAAGAAGATTGGTCATCATCTTGAAACCAGCCTTGCCCTCCTCCCACACTCCGTTCCTCTACCCTCGCGTCACGCTCCTCTGCTCGACCTCTCCCTGTGCCCTCAGGTGAACTTTGAAGCTTTCAAGAAGGGCTTCGTGTGGCTTTTGTCAGAGGGCCCTGCGCTGGCCGAGTGCTGCGAATCACAAACCGGTATGTCCTCTCCCCAAGCCTCTGGTTTGGCATTTTCAAACCTTAATTCAATGCTATTGCATTAAGCATTCCAACACACCTACCCGTGCCTAACCCACCCTGACACATCTCTTACCTTATAAGGGAACGCTGCTCACGATTATAAAGGTTTTTTTGAGTCATTACAGTCGTTATATTCTGTTAATGATTCATTTGTTTTAATTGTATATTTTAATGTATCTGCAGATACGTTTTCCATGAGCGATGAAAGCTGTGAACATAGTGGGAAGCAATTAATGTCAACAAAATAAAACGATGTTATTTACTGTGTTATTACATAGTTGTCGATTTTCCAGTTAATTAAAAATACACTTGTTTTTTTAAATACAGTAAATTAAATTGCGGTTGACACACGTATGTCTTTACATTCGATTGATCATAGGTCACAGCTCACTCCCATAGCTCAGCTATCCATGGCATATTTCCCACATTTGTGTACACTCTCCCACCCATTTACCCATTTGTGATGACACAGACTCGATCCTCGGAGCCATCGAGATATGAATCACTCTAGATGTGGTGAGAACTTAATTTATAAGCAAATCAAATGCTAAGCCATTATTATAGACACTATATACTGAGAGTGGTATTGCAAAATAGGGTTGTCATTTATTTGGAGTCTCAAATAATATGATTTTTATCGAGGGAATTTTCTTTTAGTTCAACAGTTTGTGCAAATAATTGAAGTGCCAAACGAGAGCAGCTTTCACTGGTCACACATCAAGGAAAAAAGGAACGTACTAGTATCTTCTCTCACTCATCCGCTGCAGGACATCACGTCACTATCACCTTGGAAAAAAATCCTGCACGTACATTTTCAGGGAAAAAAGATGCGACGGGATCGTGTGGTTAGCTCCCAAGTGATTCGTCCACTCATTTTTAAAGATTATTGAACATTTTACAGCTAATATATCTCCCGTTCTGCTACTGGCAAACAGGTACAGAGTGTCTCTCTGTTCAAGTAAGCATGGGGCGGTGTGCACCTTCGTCTGTGCCACTTGTATAAAAAGTCACATTCTTATGTCGAAGGACGAGTTGCCCAATAGAACAGCCCATTATAATTTCCCTCTGCTGCTGTATTGGTTTTTGTGCTTGTGCTGTACAGTCCTCGAATGTGTTTTTGGTTGATTCCTCGTGTTGTTCTGTATGATGTCCAACGTTTCACTCATGTGCCAGGAGCAACTTCTGGAACTGAATGTGCAGTCCAGTTCCTGAAGAAACTCCCAACACATGGAGCCAAACATCGGGCAATATGGCGAATAACTTAAATACATCGCAGAGGATTATTATTTCCCACTGGTTACCTTTTTTTTTTGGAGCTTCCTATGGTAACCAAACATTTTAACATGTAGGATTTCACGACCAACATTATTCAGAATAAAGGTTTTTTGGGTTAAATGGTAATTGTTGTGGGTTTACTCTCAAAGACACCGGTGTGCGGAAGTAGTCACAAATTGACACGTTTTGTTTACGTGAGAAACCTTATTAATTGGCTGTGTCGGGTTGTGGTAGGTTAATGACACATTTATATTTACGAGATCTAACCCCAAGACAACCTTTATTAGGAGCAAAAAGCATGTATCAGGTTGTAGCATGTCTTGAACACCACATTGCAACCTCTTTAAGATGACCTTTCAAGGTTCTACATGTGCATTTATTTTAACTCTGCCTGTCTTCTGTTAAAGGTGGGCTTATCAACATCTTACCTATAAAAGTAACGTATTACAGGGCGTTCTTGGTACATCTATTGATAATTACTCCGAAACTATCATACCTATGCATAATGTGAACCTGACTTTATTTTGGGGTGGGGCAGGATTTTAACCCTGGATATTAGGTGCTGTCATGCCCGTGGTCTCTGACATGTCATATCCATGTTCCTTGGCACAGGCATAAGAGCACCTCATTCGCTTTTGTACTCACCATACCCATAATATGGCTCACCGCTCTGACTCGTATCCCTCTGAACGGAAGGGTGGGGGAGCGGAGGAATCGGGGAATGTGGAAAAAAAGTCACGGCGATCAATCATGGCTATATTTTTTACAATCCTTTAACTTGGGTATGCGCAGGAGGGGTAGGTCAAGAATGAAAATCCACGCTGTTATTTCGATGTTAAGTCAATTGGCTGCACCTGTTGTTACATGGAATGTGTATAACCTGTGTAATTTTAGCCCATGCCCCTTATTGACAGCTAACGTAAGGCACTGAGAAGGAAGATATTACTTTCAACTGCTATTGAACATCCTTAGTGCTGCACTGTAATAGAAGACAAAGTGTAGGTGACGACCAAAATTTATGTGAAGGGAGAGAGCAGTGTGTGTGTATGTGTGTTTGGAAGCAAAGGTTATAAAAAGACCAGGCAATTTGCCCTGAGACAAATTGTACAAATATTTTTCTAAATTCCATTTGGCTTCAGCAACACGTTTCTTTTTATTGATTTTTGAAATGACTGCTTGTTTTCCAACAACAAATACATTATGGAATTTGCTTGATGCATCGGGTGTTTGACCAGATTACATTGGCTAGTTATGGGTTTCATGTTACCATCGCCAATGCTGCGTTCAATCGGTTATAGTTTGCAGTTGAGACAGCCTTGTTTTTACACTCGTAGCAGCGGGCTGCATCACACGATCAGCAATTGATTGGTAACCCAAAGGCATCAAAGCTGCACTCCAATGATTAATGTTCTTATTTTTATTGTAATATTTATTCCCTCAACCTGACCGTGACTACAGCAAGTGACTGCTCAAGCAGTGCAATCGGTTAAAAATCATAGCCATGGGTAAGACCAAATCTGAGGCAATTAAATACATATATTTTTTATTGCGAATTAGAAACAGTTCAATAAAGTACGAGGAAGAATGTATGGCAGAAACACCTGTCGAAACAACTCCCGAGTAGATTTCATGAAACATCATCGAGTTCCGTCGGTTACAAAGAGTATTTGCCTTCCTTTCCATGGCCGGATCTTCTCTTCTTGGTAAGAGCTGAGACGCTCAAGAGTAATGAGCTGGCGTTAATTCTAGATTTGAAGTTTTCGTGACTGCAAGGATTCATACTCTTTGGTTTTTTCGGTAAAGTTACGTCGGTAAAAAATTTAAATAAATTAAATCACGACGTTTCGGGCGCAACACAGCTAAGTTGTCCCCACCTGAAGAAGGACGCTTGTGTTGCGCCCGAAACGTCGTGATTAAATTTATTAAAAATTTTTACCTACGTGACTTTACCGAAAAAAACAAAAAGTATTGAGCTGACATGTCTCGGTTTTATTTTTTTATTATTCCCATGGTTGGGTGACCATTCTCTCAGGAGGAAAAACCACTGTTGACTTTCTGCTGAGCGAATGGTCTTAATGTATCTGCGCCTTTGCCTTCGCCGGCCCTTATGCAGTGAAGAATGTGCCCAGCTTGTGTGTGCGCTGCCTGAGCACATAAATCAAAGGACCAAAGTTTTTCGAAATTTTCTCGTCAAAAATATTGTTTTTGCAGTACTATCATCCCTCAGGGTACAAACATACATCACCCGGCAAATCATGCTCGGGCTTTGATTATTCACCAGCTTTAGGTGTACAAAAGCGTATATATCACAACAGCGATTGCAACATCGGCTGGAATGAAGATGTTAGGGACCCATTATTTTCATAATTCCACAGCAAACTATGGCGTTGTGTGCAGGTCGTACTGATAAAATGCGAAATTTTAAACAAACTCGCGTAAACAAAGCTGCGACGTAACACTTCCAGTGAGGCTACAGTCTATCCGCTTAGCTTATTGTATCCAGTCTGTTTTGCAAAGTTTCCTCAGAAAGGCAGCAGGGAACAAATATATTTGTCGTTTGTTCAGGATTTTCTTATTTAGAAACATAAGATGCAAACTGTGGTTAGATATAAATATCAGAACATTTTCTCGTCGTTAAAAATGAATTTAGATTTTTTGTTATTGTCTGCGTGACATTCTGCACATCTCCTGCATAAAGAATGGATTCATATCTGTTGCCATAAGGGCAATGCCTTCTTGTCTTCGGACAGCTCTGATCACGACAAGAAACTATAACGTTTCTTTGCCTTGCACTGCTAAAAGCAATCTGCCAGTCGGGGGGTGACCTTTCATATTTCACTTGCAGGATTGCCAATAGTATCTGACAGTTGCCAAATATATAAATTAATTTGTTGTTGACCAGTCTCTGAATAAAAAATATGTTATTTTAAGATTTTCTTTTATCTGCTTATGTGTATTTAGCCGAGTGGTGATTTGTAGGACTTGACTCACAATTTGGTGGGCTTCGATTTCAAATCACCAGTTGTGGATTGACCGGGCCCATCATTCCTCAAGTCCGCGCTGATTCTAATCAGAATATATTGGCCTCATTTGCAGGAATGTGTAATTTATACCACTGAATCAAGGGCCAATGATAGAGGTGAGTAGCTCAGCGTTGAGCAGTAAGACTCTTGAAATTCAACTCGTATTTGTTGGTGGACATGTCTGCAGCATTCCCTCTTCTTGGTGATAAAAGGCAATTTACATTTAAAATAAATGCGTGTGTGCCTCTCGCACAACCAATATAGTAGTAAATAATACATTTAAATCTTGACTTAAAGCTTTCGTGACTGCAGGAATTCATATTCTTTGGGTCTTTCGGTAAAGCGACGTAGATAGATCAAATAATAAAAGATAATATATTCTCAGCAGCTCTCCCGCGATATTTCTCACCTGATGACGATTGCTTGTGTTGCGATCGAAACTTCGTGATAGTTTTTTAAATATTTTTTATTTGATCTATCTACGTGGCTTTACCGATAGACTCAAAGCATATGAATACGTTTAAAACATATGTATAATTTTGACACGTAGGCTTTCGCGACCAATATTATGAATACATATATATTTACACCCCTTTTTCAAATACTGCACAAAGGCGTCCTCCCCCTCTGTTTTGGTTGTTGCGGGCATTCTAATGCTCA